CAACGAGAGATCATGCGCGGTGAAAGGCGTTTTCGAATTTCCATTGGATGTTGGCGTATTTTCCTCATATACTCAAGGAAAAAAACCAATTTTTCTTTTACAGATACAATTAATTTCACTTGGTCTCTGATAATTTATAATCTACTGTTTAATGATCGTATGTTTTTATTAAAAAAAATTGAATATTGAAAAATTAAAAAATTCTTTTACTCAATTGCTATGTTTTTCTGGAGTAATTCATAATTACTTTGGAAATAATGATTACTATAGAGGCCCTGGGTTCTGGACTATTTGAATATCATTCTATGCGCGGAGGCAAAGGCCCATGTCGCCGGCTTCGTGTGGTCACTGCGCAAGTAGCAATGTACACGACGTTCTAATTCAAGTTCAGTTTTCTTGCGTCTTGAATTCCGACCACGTAGTGCAGTATGCCACGTACATTAGACGATCGAATTGTAAAGATCTGGAAACAAAATCTAGAAACGAGAGTGAAGGCAGACAATAGAAGGGAACAATTTTGCAATGACATTAAATATCAATTTACGTCGGATGTACGTAATGTTCAGAGTCAAATCATGAAGATGATGAAAAATGAAAGTCTATTTCCCACTGACAGAAATGACATTTATTTTATGAAATACGCATTAGAACATAAAGTAATGATAATTTTAAAAGCACTCCATGCAAACGGTGAACATATTCACGAGTTCAGATGGGAAGATGGAAAATCAGCGCTGCATTACTTAGTCGAGCCAGGCAAGTCTTATTGCCGAGAGGTTAAGGATTTCATTGATTTTCTTTTAAAAAATTCGGAGGAAAATTATAGCGACGGGCGGGGATACTCGTACTTACACGGGGCCTGCTTCGCCGGAGATATCGAGACGGTGGAACGATTCGTACGTCAGGGCGTCAATGTCAATCTCGACAAGTACACGTGCTCGCCGTTGCATATCGCCGTCCAGTACAGACACAAAGAAATTGTGAGAATTTTATTGGACCACCAATCCAAATCAGCTGGACCACGAGAAATCGACTCCTCTGCACGCACTCGCGTGGCCGATTGCATGCAAGTTTTTCTTAAACGGCTTATTCTTTCACTCTGCGAGAAAACCAGTCGACGATATCGTTGACATGCTCGTTATGAAGAAAGCCGATATCGAGGCACGCAACAGTCACGGGGATTCACCCTTACAATATTCAGTCTCTCGATTCAACGTTGAAGTAGCCGGGGCACTCTTGAAGCATTCTGCGAGTTTGAGCAGTTTAAACGAAGACAGAATGTTCAGCACGACTTTTACGACATTGGAATTAAAGAACTATTCTTTTACTTATTTTTATTGCATTCAATAATTTTTTTCTTATATTATAGGAACCAACGAACTATCATCTTTTAAAATGAGTATGCATAATTTATTAATGTATAATGAGTATGGTTTTTATATAAAACCCGAGTCTATGAATTACTTGCGCCTATTTAGTGAAACGTCGAAGGAAAAAATGTTAAAAATTTGGGGGGATACATACGAGCGTCAATTTCATCATGAAAAGTTTATGAGTGATTTGGCACTTGAAGTAGAGAAATTAAAAAACATTAAGGTGAATGAAAACATCTCGCTCTATGAACTTTGCCAAATGAATTATCATGAAGGTTATTTGGTTTTGAAAAAAGTGAATAACTGGCGTTTACCATACATGTTCAATATGCGTTACTTGCATCAAGTAGTAAAAAGACACATAGCTAATATTTTAATAAGGTTACACTTGATATTATTCGCAGCCGATCTTTTTGAGAGTGATCATTGTCGATTGGATCTACCTTACGACGTGTGCTACTTAGTTGCTGAGCGTATGAGTAACGAGGATCTATTTCATTTGTGCGAACAGTTATCGGTGCCAGTTTGACAGAACAAACGACTCCACTTCAAAAATCAGTTTAACCGCATTTGTCTCTAAGACATTATTTTTTTGCCGGATTGATAGTGAACGATATTTTTTACAAATTGAATCAAAATTTACAATATGTTTATTCAAGGATTATGTGTCTCATAAATAAGAAATAAAGATTTATGTATCAATTTATATTAAAAATGATCTATTATAGAATTTCATTAACTAAAAAAAAACCCCCCAGCGATACTTCTCCTGCAGCAGCTTATGTTATAATTTCCTAATTTCTTAAATTTAACTTGAAAATTGATCTCTTCCACCAATTTTCGGCTTTTACCACGATTGATTTTGTTAATTCTTTGGAATAAACTCATTATGGAAATTCTTTCTTAATCCGTGTTTTGCATTTACTACTTTTATCTAATGAGCGGCTACAATTTTTTAATTTCTTCTTGATTTGTAACGAAAAAATGTTTGCGTAATTTTCTCGCTAGAAGCAAGAGACGCGAACTTTGAAATTGTAACATTGTAAACACGGGGATGTCTCAAAAATTTTATTTGCACTCATCGAGAGAGAAAAAAAATGATCGCTCGTTGTCCGTGACAAAGTGCTGCATAGCAGAAAAAAGCAATTCTTCTTCATGTACATCAAATATGCAATAGTTCGTGCAAATATTAGCCGTGAAACAGATAGAAGAGAAAAAAAAACACTGTGTATCGCATTACAAACGCAAAGTACTCTTCTGTCATACGCGTCGAATGTCACATGTGTGCGTATAGTTATATGTGTAGCGTGTCGCGCAGCACCAGCTGCTTACACCACTGCACCGCCAGCGGGTGTGTGACCGTCGCATTGCAACGATTGTTATATACCCGTGTATTGCGTTATATACAGCCGTCGATTCGACTTTGTGTTTGTTTTACACGATCAAAGCGTCACGTCATGTGCTCCGTGTGTATGTATGTATGTGGGTAAACGTACTGCATGTGAAGGTGTATCGACGTTGAACAGAATGATCAATTTCCAACCGAGTATAATACACGGCTGATGCTGTTACATCGATTCGAAATGTCAGCTTCGCAGATAGTTATAAAAATTTTAGCCCAACGTGCCATCTTTGTTTCCAGCAGCAGAGAGAGAGAGAGAGAGAGACTGCAAAAATATATAACTATAGATCGTGAGGCTTGACATTGACCTTGTACGCCTTATCATACGCCGAATTACCTCGCATACGTGTCTCGTAAGAGTTCGAGGATGAGCGAGCTCCAATCTTCCACGTTTTCCACGACTTCAAAAACCGAATGCAACGCTTGATTACTTTTTTTTCGCGTCTGTGTTTTATAGTGTAGGTATATCCTTTTAGCTGGGCGACTGCCAGTGAGTACTTAGCGCTAGTGTATATAATATTATGCGCTCGTTTCATTTTAATTTTCGAACAAAGTAATTGCATTTTTCAAAAATAAAAATATTAATGCACGTGATGTTGCGCGAAAAGCTGAAAATAATGTATTAATATACATGTCGTACAGCGCGGACGTTACAAACTTTTTCGACAAAATTTTCATGCAAAATTTTCGATTGTTACTACAGTCTCAAGTGCCCTCGAGGTACAAATCTCGAGTAAAGCACGTTTTTGTACTATCTCTCTATAATACGAATCGTTTTTTCCTCTTGATTATGCATTACATTGTGCGATATTTTCAAAATTTTTGCGCGAGAAAAGTGTGTGGGTGTGTCTATCAAGTTGAGTAACGTCGGAGATATTCTAAAAAAAAAAAAAAAAAATGCTAGAGAGTGAACAGCATCGGTCGGCGTCGCAAGCACGAGTGGTACAGCTGCATTTTTAGTCAGACGTGTTAGCGCGCGGGTGGAATTTTTATAACGCAGCGCGTCGCTCGTATAATTATCTCGAGTGACCCGTCGCGATTACGCTTCAAGGCTACCAATTTTCAACGCGTAAAAACTTCCTTTTTTTACATCCTATAAACGAAGTATCGGAAAGTGAGTGAGTGAGTGTGTGTATGCGTGTAAAAAAGGAGGAGGAGGCACAGCATCCGAGAGAAGAGCTGTCCTCTCTCTCCCTCTCCTTTTTTCATTGCACAATATACACGCGAAGCCGCGACACAATGTGCCTAATAAAAATTTACGATCCCTCGAACAGCCACCAGTTGATCATTTTCTTTCCCCGCGGCCGAGTCATTTTCGTGCGCGCGGTGGATGGCTTCGTCGCAGATTTAATTCGAAATATTCGCAACCGTGTCCGTATACAGCTGCTACCACTACTACTACTACTACTACTACTACTACTACTACTACTACTACTACAACTACTATTCGCTAAAGCACTTACAGGCTTGCGGACGCGTACCCACATACTTTCAGGCTAAATAACGTTAAATTTTTTTTGAAGTTATAAAAAAAGCCAAACCGTAAAAAGTTTCACGACAGATCGGAAAATGCGCGAAGAATATGTATCTCTTCTTCTTCCTCTTCGTTTTTTTTTATGTCCCGTCAGCGTGATGAGAATTTTTTCGTCTCGTTTGGATAGTTACATTGAAAGCGTCGACGGGGGGTTGTCATTTTCGAGGGAGCTGTTTATGCGTCGTACGTCGTCGATGAAGTAAATGATTAAAGTTGAATGGCGGAGAGGCAAGAGCAATTTTTGTATGGTTACTCGCACTTTTTTTGATCATCTTTTTTTAACTTGAAATAAATTGACTTTCCATAGTTTGTTAAATCAATTCACTCGACTTTTTTATGTTGCAATAGATTAGCAGTTTCAGTCCCTTAAAGATAGCGAGAAATCTCGTTGTCGAGAAAAGGCAAGAGAGAGAGAGAGACACTGTTGCTTTTTCCTGTTTTTTGCTGGAAGTTTACCGATAACGAGTTACACGTAACTTTCACGTGGTAGTGCAGTTTCTTTGTGAAATCAAGAAATAATTCAACGCCTCTTTTCGAAATCTCAACGAGCAACTTGAGAATTTTTTTGCACATCGCATAACCCTGTGAATAGTTGGGCTAAATGTTCACTTTCTATATAAATATCACACTAAAGATAAATGAGCATAATCTGGAAAATGGATGATAAAGAATAAAAGTTTTCAATACCCACCTCTGAAAGTCGATATTTGTCCATCTGCAAGGATCCAAACCAGTACCAAAGTGCCAATGGCAAACGATAACAGTATAAATATAGAAAAAAACTCGAAAGACACGTCAAAAAGCAACTAATCGTCTTGATCTGCGTTCAAATTAAATGAAACTTATTTTCTCTATGCATCGCAGAAATCCTAGGCGAGATTTCAATCGCACATACGCGCGTTACAGTTGTACAAATCGCGCAACATCGATTCCATCCTCGACGATGAAAAATAATACTCGGACGAAATAAATGGGCAAACGAATTATCCCATGCGAAATTCAATCCCATTTAACCGCAGAAAAAACCATCACGCGCGCCCGTCCAGCATGGCTTGTATAAACGCAATCGAAATATGTTTTCTTTTTTTTTTTTTTTTTTTAACGAACTTTTAATCAAGCCTCGCGCGCGCGCACACTTTGTAACAAGCACGTTGTAATAAAGTTTTACCTTCTTCGCACGCCAGCGTGCTAGAGCATAGTACGAGCGTACTATAAAGTTTACCATATTATCCAAACGGCTGGAAGAGTGTATTTAATCTATCCTCGGAGCTCGACGCGGTGTTGGGCGCGCGATATGCCTCTCTCTCTCGCTCACTCGCCCGTACTACGTAGTCTCTTAATTCTCACTCAACCTCGTAAGTATAAAAGTTAGTGGGGCCGATTTACGCTCGGACGCGCGATGTAGTCTAGAGCCGATTTACAAAAGGATCGCTCGTATAATTTTCGAGTGCGAGCGTGACACACGATTTTCTTGGCTCGAGTCGAAGCGCAGGACTGTATCTAATATAGCGTCTGTTTAAAACCCCGATTGCGCGAGCACAGAGACGAGCTTAACCCTATTTCATTTATCGCATTCGTTGCCAGATATGATATTTAATATAGCCAAACGCGGGATCACCTCAATCGTATTGTACATCTGCTTTTGTCGAAATAGTCGGTATAAAATAATTATGCGACGTTTTGCGTACACACACGTACAGGAAAAAAGGCTCTTTTAATTGGCCTCGCAGTGCATTACGACGGAACCAGCTATTACACATCCCTTATCTTTCGCCAAGCTATATGCGAGTACGGGTGTGTGTGTGTGTGAGCTATGCGAGCCGATACACGCATCGTCGTAAAAAAGTTTATACGATGCCGATTCTCACGCGAGGCGGTATAACTTACACTCAAACGCACTACACGTCAGCGCCCACGATATGTGCACGTTTTTGCACACGTATATATAAAAGAACGACATGACGACGACGACGCGCGATGCTGCAGCAGGACGAGTTTGCGAGCGCGACGAAATTTACATTCGCCTGCGAGGCATACACGCACACACACACGTCCGATGACGTTTAAAGTCGCAGAGCTTTTATATTCCATCATCGAGTCGAATAAAGGCATAAACATAGCGATATTTGAAGGCTGTCTCTCGATAAAATTCCAAGTGCACCTCGTAATATTTTATTCGCTCTCTTCTACCTCGATCGTTTTGTATGCAAATTGCTCGTCGAGAAAACGGCTCCGAGTGAAATAAATAAAATAAAATACAAAAAGAGATACGTGACGGAAAATCAGTACTCACCGGTATGTGTGTGCAGGAGACCACTCGTCGTTTCGCGGTCTTATATAGCGGCGCGCGAAGAAACTTTTGTATCTCTCCGTAGCCTTTTTATCGACACTATGTATTCCTCAAAAATCACTCGCGTAAATCTCGATAAATTATATACTTATGTATGCGTGTTGGTGCTGTTCTCAACGCAAAAAAAAATCGAATCAGCAGCAGCGGCGACGATGATGATTACGAAGAGTTGTTGTTGTTGCGTTGTTTGCGATGCTGTCGGGTCAACGGAGCTAAGACGAATGCGGCACGCGGAGTCGCGAGCCACGAGTTTATATAAGCCCGCCGCCACCGCCGCGCAGCTATACTCCTTCTATGCTGGCTGTTGCTTGCCTTTCTCTCTCTCTCTCTCTCTCTGCCCACGCTCGCGCCTCCCTTTTTTGCTACCGTGTGTTGCACCCCCAACCCTCGCCTATATCTCGCTCGCTCTCTCTCACTCGAGTGTGCGTAAGTTCAAAAGCGTAACTATACGTATACTACACATGCCGAGTGTGCGTGTGTGTCCGGCACAGGCCAGCTAACAGCCAACAGTCAGCAATTGTTATTGTGCGATATTACGTAGACGAGTTAAAAGGTAATGCCGTACACGCTGGCTAACTTTTTGCTTTAATCTTTCGCGGAATTTTCGAAGCTCTGAAATTATTCGCTCGCGAGCGTCTTTTTTTCATTCTGTTTTTTTTTTGTAAAAAAATATCTTAGCGCTACGCAGAAGGGAGAATTACTCTACCTCCGTTTGCCGACGATATACGCGCGCGAGTGGGCGAGAAGAGCAGAACAGGGAACTTTTGCTTTGCGCCGCGCGCGCATTCCGCCGTCCATTGATTTATCTTATGAATTTACCATAGTTTGCATTTTTTGCTCATACTTATATATTTTTTACTTTTATCGATTTCAGTTAAAAGCTTTGCCTCGCTGTTTATGGCCGCAGTATTCGCGCGTGTTCGAATCTCATCGCCGAGCGCCAGAGAGCGAACGATTCGGGGCTCATCATTCATTGATGTAAAGTCCCGCTAAGCCTTTGTAAGCCCGTGCGCGCCCTCTCCCAATCAACGGTATTATACGCAACACATATTTGCCCGAGTGCCCTTTATATTTTTGTCGCCTTTTTGTAATTAAAATCAAACGATTTATCTATGGGCTCGTTAATTAATGGCCCGCATGTATAACTGCGACTTTATACGAGCTATTCGTGTATGGATCCCGAAAAAAAATAGGGCCACGAGGACGAATCGAATTTGTGTTTATTTGCAAAATCATCGTAAAGCGGCGCTTGCAGGTATCCGCGCGACGCTCGAGTCTGAATAATTCAGACTGCAAAAGGTGTAAACAAACAACCTTGCGAACATTGCGTAACGAAGCGTACTGGTAAAACACACAAGTTTCTCCTTCGATGTTCTTACGGTACCCTTGACAGTGGCAATTCGACTTTTCTTCCCTCCGATTGTAAAAAAGAAAAAAAAACACATTATTTCTCGCGTATACGTATCGCGCGTTAATGGATTCGTATGAGCGTTTAAAATATTTTTATATTTTTCGATCACTTATGATTTAATGCACGAGAAAATTGTTTGCCATAGAGAGATCGCCCCGCGTTACTTACGCGCACAAATTGGCGAATTTCAGGATTGTAATTTTGTCGTCATATATCCACGTACTTTAGGTCCTCAAAGCGCAATGGAACGCGCGTGTATTCTCTCGTTAATGCACGTGTAATTGTCGATACCTATAGTCCGAGCAAGCTTTACGTTTCGACTTTAAAACTCGATCATCGAAATTACTTTTATCGAAGAATTTATCAAAACACCCGTGCGTGTGTATATATCTAACTGCTATTCACTCGCACTTGAGTGTGGAAAAATAAAAGAATATTAACAGTTCGAGGATATATTGCAACAGTGCCAAGTTCAAGAACATCCTTTCGAGTTATCATATATAAGAATTTCATATTATTAAAAGTCAGAGTGATTTAATATTTTCAAAGGGTTGTAAATTTTTTTTATATTCAAAGGTAGAGATGCGCAAGCACGGAGAAGGAAATCTCGCGCGAAGACTTATATTGAAATCACAGAGTAGAATGAAAGTTATTCTTTTCCGCAGAAAAATACGAGCTCACCAAGATAAATATAACGTGATAAGAGATTGTTTGGTTGTAAATGACGGATAAATATTAGATTATAGTAAAATTAAAAATGAGTATAAATTTATTTTAAAATTTGGTTTGTCTACTCAGCGGGAAATCAAGATACAATTTTGTGAAGATTTTAAAATTTCTTGTACGAAAACAAATTCTTTCATGTGAAAAGTTTCCACTTATAAGACAAATCTTTTAATAATGCACAGGATGATGACCAATCATGTAAAAAATCCTCAATATTTTATGGCTAGTTTTTGGAAGACAAAATAGTTTCTAGGACATGAAAGAGCCATTAGAACTGGGCGCATATTAGCCGGAGGTGTAAAATTTTTTTCCAATTTTTATGAGCATATAACCATGTTTGTTATTGATATTTAATAACCAATTTTCGACCATAAAAAACGGATCTATATTTCCACTCGGCTATAATTGATGCAAAGTATTTCAGTTTTTATATATGTTTTTATTATGATGGTGTAATACATTTGCGTGCTCAGCACGACTTAAAGCAATGTACAAAATTTTTGTAGATAATTTAGGCGCCCATGTTACCACTACCCGTAATTGTTTATGTATATTTGTTTTAGCCTTACTGTGGCTAGCTTTTGAATTTATTTACATTGTTGATATTATTTCGAGATTATGAAAAAAATAAACATTTTTTGAAAAAACCATATCAATAATCTGCCTTAAAACTAATAAATACTCTTAATCTAACAATATACAATACGTTTGGTAACGTTCAACTATCTTAAAACAAAGATTTGGGGTATTGCTTGGTTGAGAGCCATATGTTTTTGTTTCAAGTAATTAATATGTGATGTGGTAATTTATGTTTCATTTTAAAGGGTGCGTTTGATTTATTGTACTTTCCAAGGTTTTTGAATGTTTCATGGTTTTTATTTAAATGTTCAAAGAAGTTTTTACTCAAGGCGTATATGAGCAGTTCTTTAAATGAAACGCATTTTTGGAGGTAGAATCGCGGTAAATTTTTTTTTCAACCTACGCGAATACGGACCCCCGGGAAAAGTTTTTGGGTGTCCTAGGAGTATGTAACCACGTAGGAACCATTGAAATTACAATAGTGCTTATCTTTATAGCTACTTTTGTGATTTAGAGGATGAAAAATCATGTTTTCTCGTAAATACGGATAATTACTCAATTTCTAGGTCACTGAAAAAGTATGAAAACTCATTTGAAAATAATAACTGGCCACTGTGTTCGATAAGAATTTTTCTCAGCATTCCAATGGTGGTATCGAGAAAATCACCATTAAACATGCCAAGTTAAATATCTCGAAAAACTCGATACGAATAAAATGATCTTTGAGGTCTAATTTCGATTTTTCCTCATGAAAATGAAATTTATCGAAAAATCTGACTACACAATTAGAAAGCCAAAGAAATTTCCTATCGAAAGCATATCTTCATTTATTTTTTCAGTGGAATTACGAGCTAGTTTTGATTGTAGCGAGCCGCGAAGCTCGCGACCGCGCTGAATCAGCTCGGAAACAGAAAACAGCGAACAAAGTAAAAGAAATTCCCATGTATAACATTGTAATTCGACTCAAAAAATAAATGAACATACGCTTTCGATAGGAAATTTCTTTGGCTTTCTCATTGTGTAGTCAGATTTTTCGATAAATTTCATTTTCACGAGGAAAAATCGAAATTAGACCTGAAAGATCACTTTTTCCGTACCGAGTTTTTCGAGATATTTAGCTTGGCATGTTTGATGGTGATTTTCTCGGTGAATATACGACTTATCGGAAAATCTGATACCACCATTGGAATGCTGAGAAAAATTCCTATCGAACACAGTGGCCAGTTATTTTTTTTAAATGAGTTTTGATACTTTTCCAGCGACTTAGAAATTGAGTAATTATCCGTATTCACGAGAAAACATGATTTTTCGTCCTCTAAATCGCAAAAGTAGCTATACAAATAAGCACTCTTGAAATTTCAATGGTTCCTACGTGGTTACATGTTCCTAGGACCCCCAAAAACTTTTCCCGGGGGTCCGTATCCGCGTAGGTTGAAAAAAAAATTTACCGTGATTCTACCTCCAAAAATGCATTTCATTTAAAGAATTGCTCATATATGTGTTTTAATTTTGTCAATGTTACATTTGTTATAACATGATGTTGTCATAAATGAATGTCTAGGTTTTTTGAGCGCGGTTTGGCTTTTGTAATAACCCTGAGAGTTTTATTTTGTATTATTTGTAGTTTTTTGATATTGGTAGAGCAAGTAGAGCCCCAGACAGGTGATGCATACGTGATAGTAGGTCTGATTATAGCTTTGTATAGTGTAAGTTCATTTCTTAGATTTAGCTCGCTTTTCCTATTAATTAGATTATATAGTAAAGCTGTGGTAGTATTGGTTTTTTGATTACATGTTTAATGTGTTCTGTAAAGTTTAATTTATTATCTAGTATTACTCCTAGGTATTTTACTTTGTTTATTTGTTCAATTTGGGTACCATTCATAGTGAAAGTGAAGGTTTTTTCTTTCCTCTTTCATTTGAAAAATACTATAAGCTCCATTTTGTTTTCGTTGATCTTGATTTTCTATTTGGCGTAGTAGGGCATGAGTGCATTGATATATTTTTGGAGCTGATCCAAAGCTTTGTGTTTACTCCACGATGAGGAGAAGAATTGATGCAAATTCAACCGGGTTTTGACTTACACAATTATTTTGACTTTACTACTTGCAGATTTACAACTGAAGTTACTCGCCATCTTGCGGTGAAAGTTCAAAATGGTATTATCGTATTTGTCCTCCTCAGTTCATAACACAAAACATTAACGTATTTGAAGTGGTTGTACATTGATCTACATTTATTATTAATACTTAACATTCTACTGCAGTACTAGTGAAAAAATTGTGAGTCTTACTTTAGTGTAAATAATCAATTTTCAAACATTTTTTATGCATTCATTCGCGGCGAATAGCTCTATCGTCGAATCTATCGCACGTCGATACTACTTAATGCGATGAAAACCAGCTCTCAAGTTCATATACACTTGCATCTCTTGTTTGCAATGTAATAATGCCGCGCGAGCAACGAAGGGCTAAGTATGGCCTCGCTCGAGCGAGCTAATATCATCTCCGCGTATCCATG